GAATCGTTAATTATTATCAACAATTATCAAAAATTATTTTGAAACATTCTGGAAATTCCTGATGAACCGACTTCTTCACAGGTATTGTTCCTTCTCAACTTTTTCTTCGATCTGATACAGATTAACAAACCGATAAATGAATTTTAGAGCTTGAAAACTAGTGCGTTATCTTTATGAAACAAAGAAGCAAGTGTGAGTGAGACCAGAAAAACATGAAGAAGTACGCAAGTTTCTTTATTTACTTTAATGCAAAATTAACAGAAAAATGTAGTTTTTAGAAAGGGAGTCACGTTATGTTGAAATTAGTTTATATTATTGACAAACCACATGATTCCTCGAAAGACCAGCCCACAAATTCACCGAATAGAGTTGCTGAATTGCCCTCGGAATTAAAACATTTGGATTTTACTTTCCAGCAGCAAAAATGCTCATTTTTCGTACAAACACAAACACCGCAACATTCTTCTGGATTTTTTAATGAAAAAGCAGCCAAGGGGTTATAGTAAACTCATGTGAGTGGAAGAAAGCAACAATAAATTTTGAGGTTAGAATTTTTGTCCTGGACAAAAATGCCTAAATACGAGAGTAAAACTACAATTTTAATATTAAAATTAGTAACCTGATTTATTTAAACACAATTTCTTATAAAAAGTACATCTTTCTGTAAATTTTGCATTAAAGTAGATAAAGAAACTTGCCTACTTCTTCATGTTTTTCTGGTCTCACTCTCACTTTGTTTCATAAAGATAACGCACTAGTTTTCAAGCTCTAAAATTCATTTATCGGTTTGTTAATCGGTATCAGATCGAAGAAAAAGTTGAGAAGGAACAATACCTGTGAAGAAGTTTTAGAGAAGTCGCGGTTCATCAGGAATTTCCAGAATGTTTCAATAATTTTTGATAATTGTTGATAATAATTAACGATTCTGTCTCATTATACTCGTGTACAACCTCTTCAGCGAGAAAAATACTGGAAACTAGCAGGTAATGTCACCAACAAACTAATAAATGTCAAACGCAAAATTACAGTAGACCAGCTATTTTTTAAATTCTGGGCAAATTGGTAATATTTTCGTAACCTAGCAACGGATATAATTTTTCAATCACGCCTTGAGGTGCCCTTCTGGGATTGGTGGATTTAAGAGTGTAATAACTCTCTTATGCAAGCAAAAATTACTTCTTCGGCTGCACTTTTTGGCGACCTATTGCCCCCGGCATTTGACATTTTTCTCTGGGGCGCGAGTTCTGGCGCACCCTGTATGTGTGAATATTCTATCTTTGACTTCTTATTTTTATTTTTTGTGTTTACTTAGACAGCTTATAGAATTTGCCATTTTTATGCTTTTTTTACCATTCATTAAGCATTTAGACAAATTAGAAGACAAATTATTTTCAATAAACCCTAAGTTGTCGGTGTGAGCGACATAAACGTTTTCCTTACGCCTCATTCCATTATCAGACGCCGATAAGAAGCTCCGAAATAATTCAAAAACATTTATTTCTTACCTAGTGCAATAAAGGTAAGAGTCATAAAATAACTGTGGACCAGACTTTCTACCCCAAGTAAAGGTACAATCGGCACCAAGTGCAATAAAAATAAAAGCCGACTTAACTTCAAAGCTCTAACTTGCAAATTTTATTGAGGGAGTAATATTTTTTATTATTACCGCGTCGTCGAAATTGACTTATTAGGGGATGCGCAGCGATTTTCTGGGAATAGCAATGGACCCGGAGCGTAGCCTTGCGGGGTCAAACGTGCAGGTCGTGTCCGGTGCCACCTGCACTTCCGGCGTTGGCAATTGTCACCCCTTGAGATCCCACGCCTTCTTGTGTGGCACTCATCTCGATATTGCAAGTCACGGCATCGGCAGATGTTCACTTGTTTGTGGAGTTGAAACAACTGCATCCCCTGGAAGGATCAACCCCGTCTTTCATTCATCAAGTCGATGATTTTTATCACGTAGGCGCTATTATGTGCTGAAAAGTCCGTTAATCCCTTCGTTTTTATTTTGTGTGCACTCTATAATTCCGAAATCACATATTAGAGGAGTGCGAAAGGGTTGCGGTTGGACCTTCGAGGGTACGAAACCACACACACACAGTGGGTGGTGATTTCGACCGCAGGGTCGCAAAAAGTATATCGTGCTTATTTTTTTTACTCACCCCCGGAGCAACAGGTTGCTGGATGTTTACACCGTGATTATTTTGTTTTTATTTTGCGCTCTGATGCTCTTATGTTATGATTGCCTTCTCATTGGAAAAAATTAACGACTGGCGAAAAATGGACAAACATTTATTTATAGACCGAAAGGCACTTTCAGAGACGGACTGCCAAAAATGCAAATACATTTACCACATTTCTAAAAATTTCGAGAACACACCAGAAAAAATTCAATAAATGTCTAAGAATTTTTTGAAAGTAGTAACTGTTTTTGAGTATTATTTGTCTAAATCACCACGTTTTAGTAGACATTGAATCATTAATTAAAATGATTTCCAACATTTACATATAGTCATGCGGGAACTTTGGTCTACATTCCATGTTGCCAACTTAATTTCAAAGTCGCAAGTCAATTTTATCATAAAGGTAATTGAACACATGATACTTGACATGCAATTTCTTTTGCATATTTTTGGTATATACCGGGTGTACGAAATAAATTTCCTAAATCCGGCTCTCGTCAGAAATCGGTCTTGACCTTGGGCCTCCCACACGGGTCCTAGGGTCAGCGAATCTCGGGTTAATGGTCCCCTCGCCGCAAATTCATTTGGGGTTGGCTACCCACGAAACCAAACTAAAAACCGAAAAAAAATCGTATTTAAAGTGTAGAAGAACGTGTGAATAGTTGATGCTCCGAGTTCTTTGTTTTGTGTTCCCTCGTAATGTATTTTTTGAAGGTCACATTTGGCCCACAGCCTCAGGTGGTAGTCGTAGACTAGTGATTCACCCGATCCAAACCTGATCAATGGAATTCAGCTCTTGTCGAGTTGGTATATGTACGATTATAAGGGCATTAGAGAGCAGAGGAATCAAATACACCGTCTGTCCCTCCCACGATAATCATTTTTATATTAGAGTGGTGGCGTTTTGGCGAACATAAAAATCAAGATAACGAGGCGTGATGCTGCTTAATACGTTTTAAATCGCGATAAAAATAATATAAAACATGGTCAAAAAGTTGGATCCCGAGACCGGACATAGCGGGCGGTGGAAGGTTAAGCGGTCAGTGATACAAAGTTCGCAGAATTGCCGCAAAATCTAATTATATGGCGCTCATTTCATTCATAATCAACATCAAACATACGAAACCCGACGCCGCAATCATCGGACGGTAATTCGCCAACGGACGGAAAAATGGATAGCGTGTGGCGCCCTAAATGGGCCTCGAGTACACAGGTCGGGCGACCACCAAGAACACTTTTCATACAGCAATTGTTGGGGTTTTAGCATCATCTAATAGCTTTTGTGAAAATTTAATAGTTCTGAATCTCTCTTTGGCATTTAACACTTCTTTTGGTCAAAATCTTAAGGTAGGAACATTTTTTTAATAACCACTAACCATAAAGAATGCTACAATTACAAGGTGATTTCTTATTCTTAACGTTATCTTGACATTTAAACAACACGCTTATCATTCACAGAATTTTAAAAGAGACATTCGTTTCTGAATTTAATTCGACAAAAAGAAAATGAAATCTCTTCACCTTTTTTATAAATTAAGCAAATATTTTCAAAATATTTTATTTATTCATGACAAAGCCAATAACAAAAGTTAGGTAAAAATACGATATACTTGTTTTTGGAGTTTTATTCTCTCAATACATATTTTTAGGTCTTATACCTAAGACATCAAGTAAGATATTCATTCTTCTTAATTAAATTATTTTATCATTTTTTAAAATTAATTTTAATTAAATTAATTTTAATTTCATTTATTTTTTTCTCTGTTTTTTGTTAAATGTATTTTATTAAACGCGCACATTCAGGAAATTAATATTTTTTACATTTATTCTTAATAAACTTATTACATATTATTAGTTTAACTTTGTTGTATTTTTACGTACTTTTTGACTACATTTTTAAACAGCTTATTCAAGTAATTTGTGTAGTGTTTAAAAATACAAAAATACGTCTATTTCAAACACACTAACAAAAAAATTGAAGCAACATCTTTTTTTAATTAGAATTTAATTTCTGTTAAAAATTACATAAAATCTAGATTTATACGTTAAAAAATTATTATTTTTTACTGACATCACACACATCCACACACATTATTTTTTCACAACGGTTTCAGTAATTCTTTTGTTGTGAATACTTTTTGAATGGAAACTCCTTCGGTGTTTCGACGCAATATTCAGTTATTTGATTTGACATTTTTAACCCCTTCTTGTGAAAGGTAGCAATTTTTTTAACAAAGTGGGAGGGTTAAAATTCGCCCTTGAATTTTGTAACAATAGAGTTATAATAGCAAAAGTGTTTTCTTTCTTAGAGACGTAATAATTTCATTTCTTCTCTAATAATAAGCTTGAAAAGGAATAAATTTGAAAAAATAATGTGGTTTAATTCACAAAACTCGTAATACAATGTAATAAAAAAGAATAACAATTTTTGACTCGACTATAATATTTTATTTTATATTAAAATAAAGAATGAAGCTAAAAATATTGTTTCTACTTAATTTTTTTTATTACTAATAATATTTACAATACAATAATACATTGTGAATTAATAAAAAGAAATTATTCCAATAATTTTATTGGAACACTAATAAAAAAGGGTTAAAATAATTATGTTACGATGAAATTTTGTACCGTGTAATGTCAACATTAGGGAAATGAAAGTAAGGTATAAACATTTTTTCTTTTTAAAAATTGTGATGTAAAGATATTTTTTCACTTACCTTTATGGCGATGATCGGATTTCAGCGATTTATTTTTGTTTTATTCGTAATTTATTTTTATGTGTGCAAAGGGAGAGAAAGAGCCATAAGTAATGATTTATATTTATTTGTGTCATTGGTAAAGTAACATAATAACATTTATTTAAAAACTTAAAACTAACAGCTGTAACATATCAGGAAAAATATACAAGAGCAACCTATGGAACATAATTACTACATACAATCAGTCTTAACAAATAATACACAATAACTGCATACCCGACTATATGCGTAAAATTGCGCCAGCATCGCCAGTAGTCGTAAACATAACAGCAAATCACATCCACATAACTCCTCGTAACAGAAACAATCAATCGACCTACGAACATTATTTGGTAACTGTCCTTAACTGAAAGTGGCGCTTCATGTCAAAAAATTATTTAAAAAAACAAATTGCACTAATAATAGTAACACAAACATGCCACCGGCAGCAAAATGTTGTCATATTAAAAATATAGCAAGATTTTGCTTTATAAAATTTGGCACGAGATAAAATCGTTTATTAACACATGACCCTCTGGAGGGCTGGAAAACTAAACAATAATTGGCACACAAATTCATCAGCTTTAACTGAGGTAGATTCGTCATGGAAAAAATATATTACCTAACAACGTAAATATGTATGTACACAACGACTCACAACTCTTATTACATCTTAAAAAACAAATATCAAAACTTGCGTTGTAACATTATTGCATATTATTACTTCGAATTTACTATGAACCGGTGGCGCGGATCGGTGCCCGGATCACGCGTCCGGGACTCCGGGGAACGAACCGCCGACAGCCGGCGCTATAATGATCTGTACTTTTTATTTTATACATCTTTAATAAACTTGATCCTAAAGTTTGTACATCCACGAGATATCAATATAATCTGATATAAATATTTATATCTATTTTAACTGAGATTCTGAGGTATTGCTGTTTTGAATATTGTTTATTATCGGACATTGCGGAAAAGATACTTGAGCAATTACTCTGTTTTCTTGTTTATTACTCTGTTGTCCATTTGAATCATTTGATCGTCTTCAAATAGTTTAAAAAATATCTTTCGAAACTTAAACATTAAAATTAATATGTACAAGATAATAAAATATTCATTCAAATAGTTACAACATTTAAGTAGGAATGTGCCAAGTGACAAAAATAAAAACTACCTACACATCTAGTGCAGTCGGTCTTTGGAGTGTCGAAACGCTCACCCTCGGCTCTTGTTCTGTTGCGTTTTCCTGAAGTGCGTCTCGCAATGCTTCAACATGTGGTCTTTCCGGATAAACCCCTTACCACAGGTGTCGCAGACGAAGGGTTTCTGGCCCGTGTGCAGGCACATGTGCCGTCGCAGGTCCGTCTTGTGATTGAACTGCTTGGGGCATCGGTCACACTTGTGGGGTTTGTCCCCGGCATGCTTGGAGGCGTGCTCTTCATGGGTCTCCTCGTTGGAGAAGCGTTTACCGCAGCGACTGCATTTGAACGGCTTGTCTCCGCAGTGGAATGTCTTATTGTGCTGCGTCAAGTAGCACGCCTTGTTGAAGGTCTTATCGCAGTCAATACACTTGTACAAGCCCAACTTGGCTACTTGAACAGTCGAGGTTATCTGGGGGCTGCCGGTGCTCTCTTCATAGTCGCGCTTGATATGCGCCTTCTCGGGCGACGGAGAAAAGGCCAAAGTGTCTTTATCCTGTGGGGCCATGTCTTCAGGAGGCGCCGGATCGGCGACCGTGAGAACAGTGAGGTGATACTCGTCATCGTCGGTCTTGTACATGAGGGTGCGCGCCTCGGAGCTCTCGACAGGGTCGGGGTAGTAGCAATAAGGGGCCGTTGCCGGTCCCCCGCCCCCCACGTTCGCGTTGCCGTAACTCATCAGCAGGCCGTAGCGGTGGAACTGCGCGAAACTGGGCAATGGTTGCGAGTCCTGCTGGAGGCCGGCGTCTTCAAATTCACCAGTAATACTGATGTTGTTGGTAACCGTAGGTTGCGTAACGTGGGGGGCCGACCCGTTTGGGTACATCTGGAACTGGGGGTTGTCGAGGGGCATCATATGAGGCGGCCCCATGTTGAAACCATGCAGCAGGCCCCTCGAGTCGAGGCTGGTGGGTGAGGGGCCTGCCTCCCCGTTTGGGGGACTCCCGTTCGGAACGTGGTGCAAGGGTTGCGGCCGGTCGTATGGCCCCGGCATCGGCATACTGTTCGTGTCTTCATCTCCGGGGCTATTGTTCGCATCTTCCTTGTTCGAAGCGGAGTCTCGCGCCGGATGGTGGTGGGCACTGATGGGCATGGAGGCCGGGTCGGGCTGCCCGCTAGACTTGACCGCGTTTTTATGCAGTGTTGTGTTATAGTGACGTTTTAGGTGGCCCGAACTAGTGAACCACTTGTTGCAAGCAGTGCAATTGTATGTTTTAGGGCGGCGGGCCTCGTTCGACTTCCAGTTGGCGCTCTTGGTGACCGGCGAGACCGCCGTCTGGGGCGGATTCGTAGGAACTTGCGTGCTGGTTATCACCGGAGCGCTCGGTTGAGCCGGAAGATGCTCGAACGGCCGGTAACCCTGATTCTGCATCACGGATTCTTGCGGCGACGTCGTCGTCACGTTATTTCCCATGAACTCCTGGTTATGCATAACTTGAGGACCGTTCATGTATTGTTGCTGCTGGTAGATTTTTTGTTGTTGAGGAGGCGACCAGGTATTGAGAAGAGCCGTGACGGAATGAGGGTTTGGTCCATTCATCTCACCATTTTGTCGCTTCTCGTCTTCGGGATATACCTGGTGGACTTTATGGGAGTCCAGGTCTAAAATCTCGCTCTGGGCATCTTCTTCAGTTTTAATTTGGGGTTGTGGGTCATTATTAAAGAGGAAATGATTGGGATGATAGGCAGGGGTCGGTGGATGGGCTAGATTTTGGTGTTCTATGAGTTGGGTCGCGGAATCGCAGACGTAGCCGCACTTGTCGCATTGTTTTGGGCTAGGGGAGGGTGTCGGTTGAGGCGGGTATGCCGGACTCGACGAAGACACCTGTGCGTTAGATTGTGACCGGTCGTATTGTTGATAGGGGTGGTATCTATACGAAGGGGCTTTGTGAATAAATTCTTGCGAGTATTGTTGGTTCTGGTTGTCCATTGGAAAAAATTGCGACTCGGCAAAATTGGGGTAATTATTGGGGTAGCTGGGCGAAGAAGTACGTTCTTGTTTTATTTGGAAGTTTTGAAAGTTTGGCGAAAAAGCAGAATTGTCGTGGTTTTGGTACGGGGAGGAGGCGCTTTGATAACTTTGAGGCGTCGGTGGATGTCCGAAAATCGTCTCGGGGGTTGTTCGACTGTACTCGGGACTTTTCTTGTTCATGGAATCTGAACTATCGGCCGCGGCAATAGTATTATTTGGTATAAACTCACGTTTGATAGCTTTGGGATTATTATTGTTGGTCTCTTCCGAGTGGGAAGTAGCCGCTTGTGTCGCCCATTTGTTGAGGAGGTTCTCTTTGTGGTACTGGAGATGGACTTCAAGGGACTCGGCCGAGTTGAGATACAGGCCGCATTCCTTGCAATGATGAGGGCTCGTGTTGAGTTGCGGCTGGTAGTGTTGCACGCCACTGTTGCTTGCCATTGCACTCGCGTTAAAGTTTCTCAAACAACAAAACAAAGTTCCAACTAAAAAAATACAACTGTCACTCTTTTAATATCATAACATCGCAATAGTTCTTATTCCCGGAGGCATCACATTTGAAACATAAAATAAACCGCGCTTGTTTACAGTTTGCATCACTTTCGGCAAACAAAAATAAATTCGGAACAAAAAAATAAAAACAGTCTTTGCGGACGTTTAGCCCATGTTACGTAGGAGGAGCAGCGACCACGAAATGTGTCTCTTGCAAGTCCATCATGGAACCGGGGGGGTTAGTTATGAGCGCACTGGTCGTCCACACTTTGATGATGGCACACCGATCGCCGCACTAGACTCTTGCCGGACAAAACACCGACTGAAGGCTTCACGGTTCCTCTCGAATTCGGAGGTCCAACGTGCTATGCGTGTTTCGCAAACTCGCACAGGCCGCACCGCTCCGATTTCGACCAATGGCTTCGCCCGGTTTAATGCGTTTTGGGGTGGTAGGGGGTAAGATGCTGCATTTTTGAACCAAGCCGGCTAACCATCCTAATGCCTATGCGGCGATTTAGACCTAACTAACGAAAAACTAACAACAAATTTCAATTACAATTATTAATGGGACGCATTATTAATATTACGTTGGGGGGAAGGTTCGTTAGGTACGTGCCCGGAAAACTCCAGTAAATAGATTTCCAACTTTCTGCACGGAAAAGTTTCTTTGTCCCGAAAAGCCGACCGCGAATTAACTAATCGATTTGACTACAACACTGAGAAAACTGTTTTTAATAGCTAACACCCATTTATAAACATCAAGTTTGTTTAATAATGAACTACTTTTGTTTAAAATTAAGACACTAATGTTAAACTTGATATAAAAATCTATTTATTAATGAAAAATAAATATGTATTTAATAAATACAAAACAGCGTTTTTTATTTATGTAAAGAAATTAATTAAAATGAGAATTATTAAAGTTAAGAACTTTTTTACTAAGAGTATCAATTTTTTTCCCAATGAGTTTATTTTGCTTCAATTTGCATAAAATTGTTACTGGGGAGTAAGTTGAACTACATTTTTTCAGCATAGTTTACTATAAGCTTTTTACGATTTATGACTTGTTAAAATCATTTTTTTTATTTATTATTAAAAAAGTGATACTTTCAGTTAGATTATAACCCAACATAATTGTTAGTACACTATTTTCTCACTTTAAGGTTTTTTAATTTTTAAAAAACCATTCTTGTCTTACATTATAGATATTATTATGAAAGTTTTCGCGAAAGGAAATCAAATTTTCTATTTTGAAATTCAAGTTTCTCAGATTTTTTAACCCTATTTTTTTATAATATTCAACAACTATGTATCCTTGTTGGTAATGAAATGTTTTATTCTGTTTTGGTAAAAAGAATTCAAATTATATTACATTAAAAAAAGGTTGAGCCTTTGACAATAGCAAATATTACTTGATTATATTTAGTTTTGTGTGCGCAAAGCGGATCCATCTTTGACGCGATTACAATAACAAAAATATTTTAATCGAGCGCATGCAAATAAACACGAAAATATCTCGCGGCGCACAATTTTTCAATCAAAATACCATGACGTAAGCTCGATTTGAATGCAACATGCAATTTCGGTTTTGCAAGGACAAAAGTCCATTTACCTCGATCTTAGACGTCGTTGGAGTAATTAACCCCGGATCGAGCGGAACGTGTTTGGCGAAAAATTCCGAATCGGGGCTAATTGTGGCATGAGTTAGCGGTCCAATTTGAAAACATTAGATGGTAATCCGAGGCCTTGTCAATGGTATTCAAATTTCTTACATAAGCGGCCGGCCCTCGAGAGGCCCTGCCAACAACAAGAAAAGCAGAAAACGCATGCCGAGTTAAAAATCGCCGACATTTCTTCGTCACAACTAAACAAATTGCAAGCGATTTGGTAGACAAATTCAAATGATTATGTGCAAAGTCAAGGTGAGAGTGTTCGCCTTTTCGGCGGCTGAATAAACTCTGATGAACTTATTTTCGGTTTTTTTATTATTTTGACCAGACGGAGTCTGCATGCATTAATTGCATCCTGAGGCATTCTCAAATTCGGCTGCTGCATCTTTCAAGGTCCAGCAACAGCATTGTCTAACCCGATCCAACGTTCGCGAGATAAAACGCCAAAAACTTGCGAGAAAAACACAAGGAGGAAAAACCCCAGATGCTACGCGGTCATAAACCTGTACTTCATTTCGATAATAATCCGATTTAAGGAAAAATTAGTGAAAGTGAGAAAAGGGCCTTTTTCTCCCCTAATTTAATAACGCAAATCGAACCCTAAAACCTAAAACTTTGGAAAAATTTGCTAAAATTTATTTACACCACAACGGCTTTCATACCTGATTGCGTGTTTTTTCAGCTTGCCCATCGTGTTTCTCCTTGTAACTTTTATTGTTAGTTATTACCAAAAATACAAATTAATTGTCACCAATAATTTGAAATGCAGGTGTTTTTGATAATTAGTTTCCCTTTTCGATAGTTAATAAGGCGTAAATTCTCCGGAAAAAATGCTACGAAGGTAATTAAATACGGGGCAATTTACGAAAAAATCACAGCTGAATCTAAATGGCCTTCTGAGCAAGATAACATCTATCTTCACGGCCTGGCGCATCCATGGATTTCTTTTGTTGAGGGCCGTTATTTTTAGCCCCCGCACCCCGTCTAATGGCCCTTCGGCTATTTGGCAATAGTCCGTTTTACAGGTACTCACCCCAATAAAGCGGCACATTATTCTTATTTTACTCTTCGAACTGTGTTTCACGTTTTTATCGCGACGATTCAAGAATTTAATTAAACGAAATCAAGCCCAAATTATCGATCCTATTTTTTATAAAGCGCACAAAGACGGAAAAAATACATTGCATCTCTTTATTTGAGTTCAAGGAAATGATTTTTAAATTGTTGTCTCGGAAAGTCGGAGGTCGTGCAAGGTTATTGTTTGGACTAATTTACCGATCTCACACTTTTAATAAATTTCGAATTTTACATATTTCAAACTTTAGAAATTGCGTAATAAAATTCTATAAATACAAATTGTCTGCATAAGTTAATGGTATGCAAGTTATGGTAAGTTATGAAGAGAAGTTTTCCTTAGACACCCAGGGCCAAAGTGATACAACCAGAGGTTATATGCTAAGCCACATTACGTGATAAAAATTTTATTTGACTAAAAAATTCATGTATGGGCATTTTGAACAAAATCAAAAAAAGTAAATAATAAAGCTAAGAATGTGCACTCCCATAATTCATAATACCTCTAGAAGACTACAAATTGTTGGGCTTCAATTCTCACAGGACTTAACAAATTAAGCAATTTTTTAATTTTTTATTGAATGTAGTTTGCTTTATAAAAAGTCAAAATAGCAAGTAAACTATCGCTCATAATACTTAGAAAAAGTATATTTTTTGGTACTTTACGAACTATTTAAGTCAGCGAATTTCTATAGGATTATTCAGTTAGTGAATTTCTCGGAAAAAAACAAGTAAGTTTTGAATTTTTTTGGTTTTCTAAATTGAAGCATAAACTTACAGAAAAAGTAATCTATAAATTTTCAAGTCTACTCAATTACGATTAATTATTTTTTAAATATTTTTTAGTTTATACGGGCCAGATACATATTTTTGTAATTCCTATATTTCAATTAAAAAATACTATCAAAAGAAACTTGCTAGTTCCTAGACTATTAGTTTTTACAAACTTACCATTTGTTAATTTTCATTTTCATAGCTCCATTATTTTTAAGGCATTATCTTGTACAAATTATTATTAAAAAAAGTTTTAGCTTCAGAAAAAAAATGAGGCGTTCTTTGTAACAACCACACATGTCCAAAATCTTGATTTGTGGGAAAACCGCTAAAACCTTCTAGTTTGTGGTGCGATTTTTTTCTTGCAACCAATTATTTTTGTTCTTATATAAAACACTTTGTGACTTCTATTTCTCCCATTTTCACTTCTACAATCATTTTATAATCTCCGATAAAAAAAGATGGACATGTGTTGTTTATAAAGAAAAAAAAATTGCAACATAACAGAAAAATACTTTTAATATGTATATATATTAAACTTACTGACAAATAAAGGAAAGTTCTATATGGAACAAAAAGTTTCATAAAACAAAATAAAATCTGGCTTCACCAGATGGCGCACCTAACTCAATTTGGCAATTTTTGGACATTTGCGGTTATTCCAAGAAACGCCTCAAATATAGTCCAACGTGCATAGTTCACACCCTTTATTTTTTCTTTTTGTTATTCTAATCAAATTGCTTCATTCGTTTGTAGTAAAGAAATCTTTTATTTTCTTTCTTTATATGAAATTTTATTTGTAGAAGAACATTTGTCTAGTAAAAAAAATCTGGAACTAGAACAGCTTTTTAAAATTATTTACATATAAATGCAAATTAATTGCATAAGCTTTGATTATTATTGTACTTATTTATTCGTACTTTCTTTGTCTTATATAATTTTATACTTATATTTATTCACCCTTATACATGTTAATGATTTTTCTATGATTTTATTTCTAAGTTTTTTTCGTTATTAATTTAATAAAATTTTATTTCCTGCGTTATAAAATTCTATAAATACAAATTGACTGCATAAGTTAATGGTATGCAAGTTATGGTAAGTTATTGTGAAGCAAAGTATTCCTTTCAGACATCCAGGGCCAAAGTAGTGCAAGCAAAGGTTATATGCTAAGCTATATTACGTGATAAAATCTTATTTGACTAAAAAAATCATTTGTGATTGATTTAAACCACAGTCTTCTAATAATATTTTTATGTCTTACAATTCTCAGTTTGTCAGTGACTATTTATTTTTGTTAAAGCATTTTTTATTTTTTGTAACTTCAGATTATTGTTAGGTCATTTTTTTACTTTATGTCAACAAAATTATGTTATTAGACTTAGACTTCGGGACTGTCATCACTGACAAAATGAAAATCGTACAGTGAATAGTCGTGTAACATTAATTTTGTTAATAGCTGTACTAGTTTTACATAAATTTTAAGATTCACATTTATTCAAGTTTTCTAATTCGTTTTTTTTTATTACGCTTAGTAGATTATCTTACTAGAGATAAAAGTGACATTTAATAAGCCACATAAAATTTTGCTCCCTATAACATTATACTACCTTATTTCTTTAGATAAACAAAAAAATGTATGGCAAATAAATTTTCAAGCAAACGACAAAAAATAACACTTTTGTGTCTAAATGTCAGAAGTAAAAGTTTTACTTTTATGTCTAGGCTTAAAAGTAAAACATTTACTCAGATAAAGTAATCAAGACATAAAAGTGTCACTTTTTTGATTAAAATTTGATTTCATTTTAGTTTGAAA